TGTTTGTAATCATTGCCGGTCTATGAATTCAAGGGCACAAATGCCAAAATGTATAATTATTACAGGTAATGAAAGAAAACGGAACAGAAATGTCAACGAATTTTCATAGAGTTCACAATTACAATGTTAATAGAAAGTAAAGTCGTGCTACCGAAATACAAAAAATTTGTTTGGAAAATGTTTCATAACTCTACCAAATCTCTTAACTGCGTAGTTAATGTTATATAGATTATACAAACGAATCGGTTGGAAATATTGGCAGAAAACTTTAAAGTCCTAAAAATCAAGTTTTATCGACTATTATGTTCAAATCTAAAAAATGGTTAAGCAAATGTTTGCTGAATTTGAGGACGTAAGAGCCCACATTATTGGCTTAATCCAAGGGTTCACTACTTTCATTATACCTTCGAATTATGGCTATAGAATGTACCTATCATTTGGCACGACCAAAATTTGCCTCACCACAATAACGATTTTAGAGCCATCTGTCTGTTCAAGAGGCCGGTTACGCTTACTCACGAATGAAGTACCAGATTTCTTCCAAATTTGGCACAACGTAATATTTTAACTGACGATAATTTATTTTCTGATGACTTCTTTACCTTTCAAAATGTTCAAAGAAAATAATCTACCTTAGAAATATAGACCGCAAAGGAGTGTCTGATTTGTTATACCTTCAGTCAAATGGCTACAAAGGGTATATATCATTTTATACGACCAAAACGTGAAATAACGGTTTAGACCCTAGATCTCTTGGTCTAAATCAGTTTCAGGACATTTGGAGTAGATCTAGCGATTTCCGTCAGTCCGTCTGTCTGGCTGGCCGGGTGCGTACGACAACTCTCGAAGGAGTATCCGATTTGGTCCAAACTTGGCACATATTATTAAACTTAGATCGAGTTCGGAAATAGGTAATATTGGTCCACTCTTCCTAGTAACTCGCCCAGAAAGAGTCGACATTTTCAAAAAAAAAAAAAAAAAAAAAAAAAATACTTCACAGAAAGTGAAAGGATAATCCAATTTTGCTCCAACTTTGCAAATATATAATTTTTGCATCAGTGCTAGGTCAGGTGCGAAAATGGGCAATATCAGTCCACTCCATAAAGTACCTCCCACACAAAGGGTCAAAATTTTGTATAATTATAGCTCTTACAAAATGTGATGTAAGAGCCCGATTGTCTTCAAATTACACACATCCCATCATTTTTACTAACACAAGATCTGCTGTGAAGATGCTTTCTCCTTCTAGTACCTCCTCCACAAATGGTCTATATTTTGAATATCCATGAAATCCATAATAATCCGAAATTAACATCCAACTCCATTCAGATTTGGTACATCTCAGTATTTCCATCAACACAAGATTTGTTATAAAGATGGTAGAGATCGGACCATGTCTTCCGGTACCTCTCCCACAAAGGGTCAAAGTTTTGAATAACCAAAACGATTATAAAATCCGAAATACAGGATGAGATGAAAAAACTGCAAACTTCAGTCTGCCGCCATTTCTAAGCCACTCGTCCGACAGCTTTCAAAAATTATTCCAGTAACAGCTCATTGTATTGTTTACAAGCGTACAAAAGCATTTTGGTGAGGATTTTCCAGAAATAATGTTATTCGTGATGGAATTCAATCGTGATAGTGTGATTTTTTTATATTTGGCTGGAAAACGACAAGTGGCTATCGTTAGAACACTCCAGCATTTAAATGTGAGCAGATCTTTTTCCACGTACCATCGCTCGTTACCGTAATACTGGTAGCGTAGCCCGACGTCACGGAAGTGGACAGAACAAAACAGCAACATCAACAGAAATGATTTGAAAAGTTAAGAAGCGACTTGATTGAAACCCCGCGTTGCATTGGCCGAAAAATGACTCGTGAGCTGAACATATCGCAATATTCCTTTCGGCAAATATTGAAAAATGAGCTCGGGTAAAGGCATTGGAATTCCAAAAAGTGCAAGAACTTACACCGCAACAGAAAGAAAATAGACTCAATAGAGCTAAAGAGTTGCTTCGCTTGGCCGAAAGTGGTGAACTGCCGAATTTGGTTTTCTCCGATGAGAAAACATTCGTTGTTCAGCAAAATTATCGTGTTTACTTGCCAAAGAGGTCAGCTGAAAATGTGCAGCTTCGATTGGCCAGAACTCAAGGGCCGCCATAACAGCCGATGGTCGCTCTCCGCTCGTATTAATCGATCGTGGCATCAGAATAAATGACGAATATTATCGCGAAAATATTGTGGAGGGTGTATTAAAGCCTTATGCACACAAACATTTTGGCCACAGATCTTGGACATTCGCGCCACCCAAGAATGGTTACAAATTGAGGTTCATCGCTTCATTTCCAGTGCACAATGGCCACCAAAATCTCCGGATACCAACGAATTAAGATAGGACGCTAAGGAGTTCTTTGTGAGTGCATTAACCCCATATAACGGAACCACCCGATATTCGGTATATTGATGATTTCAACCAAAATTTTCAATGGAATTGTCTTAAAACCCACAAAAGTAGTACCTTTTGAGTACATTACCCCCTGAAAGAGAATTGTATATATAGGTCCACGATATCATATATCCCCTATATAACGGTTTCTCCCGATATTCGGTATTTTGATGATTTTAGTCACATTTTTCAACGGAATTGTCTGAAAATTCACACAAGGTTTTCCCTCTGGGTACGTTACACCCTAATTGATCGAAATACGTGCACGTTTTAGTATAGCGCCCATATAACGGTACCCCGTATTCGGTATTTCCATAAATTTTGCGAGATTATTCACCGAAATTGTTTCAAATTACGTATATAAAGTTCGGGACAGTTACTACAGCCTATTATACAAATTACTTGTGCAGGACCACGTCTTCGTATAGCCTCCATATAACTGTTTTCATTTGAGTGGCATTTTTCGACGGGTTGATTTTTATACCCTCCACCATACTATTGAGGGTATATTAATTTTGTCATTCCGTTTGTAACTCCTCGAAATACTCATGTTAGACCCAACAAAGTATATATATTCTTGATCAGCGTAAAATTCTAAGACGATTTAGCCCTGTCCGTCTGTCCTTCTGTCTGTCTGTCCGTCTATCTGTCTGTTGTAATCACGCTATCTTTCGAACAAATTGAGATAGAAGGCTAAAATTTTGCACACATGTATATTTTGCCAGTAGGCAGGTTGAGTTCGTAAATGGGCCATGTAGGTCCAAGTTATCATATAGCCCCCATATAACGGTACCTCCCGATATTCGGTATTTTGATGATTTTAGCGACATTATTCGCCGGAATTGTTTCAAATTTGGTATTTGAAGTTCGTAATGGATACTACATCATAAGTCAAAAAATGAGCCATGTAGGTCCACGTCTTCATATAGCCCCGATATAACGGTACTCCCTGATATTCGGTATTTTGATGATTTTAGCGACATTATTTAACGGAATCGTTCCAAATTTGGTATTTGAATTTCGTAATAGATACTGTAGCATAAAACAGAAAATGGGCCATGTAGGTCCACGTCTTCGTATAGCCCCCATATACCGTACCCCCCGATATTCGGTATTTTGATGATTTTAGCAACATTATTTACCGAAATTGTTTCAAATTTTGTATTAGAAGTTCGTAATGGATGGCCCATGTCTGTGCAGGTCCACGTCTTCGTATAGCCCCCATATAACGGTACCCCCTATATTCGGTATTTTGATGACTTTAGCTACATTATAAACAGATTTTTCTTCAAGTTTCGCATTTAAACATTGTAATAGCTTATGACAAAATTCGGTATTTTTAAGATTTTAACAGAATTTTAAACGGATTTTATTTTTTTATTTTATTTATATATTTATTTATTTATTTATTTTTTTTTTTTTTTTTTTTTGGAAGTTGCCAAATTTGTACCAAATGGTGGAGGGTATTAAAAGTTCGGCCCGGCCGAACTTACAGCTTTTTTATTTGTTTTTTTTTTTTTTTTTTTTTTTGAAAATTTTCAAGTATCTCCCAAAGGTTGGAGGGTATAAAAAGTTCGATCCAGCCGAACTTAGCGACTTTTTTACTTGTTTTTATATAATCCCTCTCGAAGTGATATCATGCATTCCATAGTAATTATTTGGTACAAAAAATAAAAATGTCTCCGTCAAGTTTGGTGAAAATCGTATCAGAAGTGGATATTCCTCCCATATATTAGTTTCCTCTGAAACCAAATTATAACTGCTCTCAAGCCAAATGTTGATAGGCGGTATGACCTGCTTTAAATAAATAAAGCTCTACTAAATATGCATAGTGGTGTAGGGTACCATATAGTCGGTCCCGTCCGACTTTTGATTTTTCCTTGCCGGTTTATTTCTCATAAAGGTATCAATCTATCCTACTTCCTTATTTAAAAGTTCTCTTTTAGAACTTCCATAGCTAACAATGATCTTAATATGCAGCCCACACTGTGGTCGACCATTGCATCATTATTTTCATTTTCCAAGCTTTCCATCACAATGATGCATTTATACTTCAAAAAATGCACTAAGCTACAAGTTATATATATTTACATAAGCAACAATTTAACATTTTTGATATTCATGTCCTCCTTCTTCTTCTTCTTCTTCTTCCTCGGCGATAAACTATCAAGGAATTTTACAGTATGTCCTCAATATCAATGTAGTAATTTATATAGCATACAAACACCCTCTCTCTCTCTCTCACACACACACACACACACACACACCGACAGAGATACAGTCTACAATTATTTTGTTTATTAAGTTCATGTCAATGTCCATTTAAGTTTTCTTCACTTTCTGTTTTGTTTACTGTTTCGTTTGTGGAGTATTGTTTTATTATTTCAGTTTTTCTTTTCATTCGTGGAAATATCATTAGCATAAATGCAATAATGTTGTTGTTGTCTTTTTTCACAACAATGTTGTCATTTCATGGTTTAAGTATTATTCTGTTTTTTCAATTTTTACTTAAATATAAAATATTGACAGAAAAATGGAAAATGAAACTACTCACCATACCACCAACGCCACAGTAGATGGACAAACCCACCAGCAGACCAATATGATTTAGGGCAGCTCTTAATTTCAGCGATTTCCAAAAACTCTTTTTACAAATGCCACGATTGGCCTCCACCGTCTCCACCCGGACATCCAAATGTTTTAATTTGTTTAGCAGCTCGGCATTGGCATCGTCCGTTGCATCGAATTCCACCATTTTTTTTTTTTTTTTGGTTTCAAATATTTTCTCACTCACTTTTCAGCACACAATAACAATAACAAACAACCACTTGCTCATTGGGGAGAATTCCTACTTGATTTGTATTTATTTAATTTTTTTCATTTCTTTTTTGCTTTTCCTCGACTTTAACACTTTGCGGGAAATTCAACTCCCCTGTGAATATTGCATTTAATTTGAATTTTTCACTTCATCTTTTGAATTTCAAAACTTATTCGCCATCGTTGACTTCTTTGCTGTTGTTGCTGCTGTTTCTGCTGTTAGAAGGAGAGATCATGGTCACCAAAACGATTTCATTTGAATCGAAATAAAGTTTTCCTTTTGCATGGCAAATAATTTCCGGCTAAAGTTCGTGGTCATCGGGGGGGAAATTGCTTCAGCAGAACTAAACTAATAGAAATTTATGGCAAATAATTTCCTGAATTTGAAATGGTCACTTGGATATGATAACGATGTCGCTTTGGGTTATTATTCAATTATTTTAATAAAAGAAAACTTGCAAGAGGTCTTTTATAAATAACGAAGCTTTTGAAATGAATTTTTTATAGATGGAATAATGGCTTTAAAAATAGGTCTTCTAAGGGTCTACAGGTGTCATTTAGAAGATTTTAAAAAGCCTTCTAAAAGGTATTCTTAAAACCTCAGCCCTTCAAAGATGATGACTTTCAAACGGGGATTTTAATGCAGGCGAACTACCAGTGATATTCTAAGGATGAACACCATCAAATAGTACCATAAAACCGTGGATAGACTAGACGGTCTCCAAAAGTGATATCATAGATAGAAAGGCACCAAAAAGGCGACCGCGGTTAAAATGTCAAGAGTTTGAAGGGACACCTAAAACTACACTTTTGATAGAAAACCCCAAAAATGCCGTCCATAAATAACACTGTGCGGAAATTTTTTTCAATAATTATTTAGAAAGTCCAGCAGATTAGTAAAGTGGAGAAAAAAATATAAGATATGTATTTTAAAACTTTCGGATAACAATTCCTGCGAATTCGTCAGGGTGAGATAAAAAAAATTAAGAAAGTCATACTCCATATATTTAACATTTTTTTTTTAATTTTATTGAATGAAAGCAATACATGTCAGAAATAGCATCAAATTTTCGAATAAGTTTAGATTTGTTCGAATTGGTCACCTTTGGCATGAATTATGGCCTTCAAACGGACAATGAAACCGTCACACGCTGCCCGAATGTTGCTCTGCGGTATTTTGGCCCATACCCGGCGAAGCGCTTGCCGTCCGTCCGTCTATCTGTCTGGCTGGCTGGTGCGCACGATAACTCTCGAAGGGAGTATCCGATTTCATCCAAACTTGGTACATCGTAATATTTTTGTCAAACTTAGATCGAGTTCGGAGATGGGCAAAATCGGCCCACTCCTTCTGGTACCTCCCCCACAAAAGTTCGAAATCTTCAAAAAATATATTTATTGCACAGAAAGAGCAACTATAGTTCGATTTTGCTCCAACTTTGCAAATCCTAATATTTGCATCAGTGTGAGGTCAGGTGTGAAAATGGAAAATATCGGTCCACTCCATCAAGTACCTCCCCCACAAATGGTAAAAGTTTTGAATAATTACAACTCTCATACAATGTGATGTAAGTGTCCGATTGTCTTAAAATTTTACACATCCCAATATTTATATTAACCCAAGGTGGTATTTTTTAGTGCCAACCTTGATTTCTAAAATACTCCAGACACAATAGTCCAGCGGATTGGTATCCGGAGATTTTGATGGCCTCACCTCATTTTTTTCTAACCATTTTTGGGTGGCGCGTGCTGAGTGCAATGGTACTGAGTCCTGTTGGAATGTCCAAGATATGCGGCCAAAATGTTTGCTTGTCCAAGGCTTTAATACACCCTCCAGAATATTTTCGGGATAATATTCGGTATTTATTCTGATGAGCGGAGAACGACCATCGGCTGTTATGGCGGCCCACACCATCGCCATGGCCGGCGCGTGAGTTCTGGTGGCCAACCGAAGATGCACATTTTCAGCTGACCTCTTTGGCAAGTAAACACGATCATTTTGTTTGTTTAAAAACTGCTGGACAAAGAATGTTTTCTCATCGGAGAAAACCAAATTCGGCAGTTCACCACTTTCGGCAAAGCGAAGCAACTCTTCACCTCTTTGGAGTCTATTTTCTTTCTGTAGCGTTGTCAATTCTTGCACTTTTTGGAATTTCAGTGGCTTTACGCCGAGCTCATTTTTCAATATTTGCCGAATGGAATATTGCGATATGTTCAGATCACGAGCCATTTTTCGGCCAGAGCGACGCGCGTTTCGATCAAGTCGCTTCTTTACTTTTCGAACCATTTCTGCTGATGTTCCTCCGTCCACTTTCTTGACGTCGGGCTACGCTACCAGTATCACGGTAACGAGCGATGGTACGAGACACAAAACATTTATTTACATTTAAATGCTGGAGGGCTCTAACGATAGCCACTTGTGGTTTTCCAGCCAAATATAAAGAAATCCCGCTATCATCACGAATAACTTTTTTTCAGGAATATTCTCACCAAAATGCTTTTGAACGCTTGTAAACAATATAAAGAGCTGTCACTGGAATAATATTAACAGCTATCGGACGAAGGGCTTCAAAACGACAGCAATCTGAAGTTGGTTGCCGTTTATTCATCTCACCCTGTATATGGGAGCTTAAGCCAAATTCCGAGCTCCATAAGATATCCGGTACAAATTATCATTGTTTTCGAATGCATGTTACGAATGTGAGGGACTTAAACACCAAATCGGATGAAACATATATGTGGAAGCTATAGCTATATCTGAACCGATTTTCACTAAATTTGATGTTCTTGCTTCTACACTGAATTTGGTAGGATGTGTCAAAATTCAGGTCAATTGGACTTATATTGGCCATTTGATGCACAATTAATTCGAAATCGGTTGAAGCTATATATATGAGAGCTATATCCAAATCTGAACCGATCCTGATAAAATTTGAGTTATTTCTGGGCTATATCTGATATCTGGTACCAAATAGCATTACTGTGAAGTGCTTATTACGCATGTGAGAGACATAAACACCAACTCGGATGAAATATATATATATATATATATATATATATATATATATATATATATATATATATATATATATATATATATATATAGAAGCTATACCTATATCTGAACCGATTTTCACTAAGTTTGATGTACTTGTTTCTAGACTGAATTCGGTTCGATGTGCTAAATTTCAGGTCATTTGAACTTATATTGGACATTTGGTGCACAATAAAACCGAAATCGGATAAATATATATATATGAGAGTAATGGAGCTATAGCTATATCTGAACAGATTTTCTCTAAATTTGATGTTCTTGCTTCTAGACTGAATTCGCTTGGATTTGTCAAAATTCAGGTCATTTGGATTAATATTGGCCATTTGGTGCACAATTACCCCGAAATCGGTTGAAGATATATGGGAGCTAAATCCGATCCAAATATTGTTTGCAAAATTTCATCTCAATCGGATAATAAATGCGACCAGGATTTTGTTCACAAAAATAAATGGACGGACGGACTCGATCGACTCAGAAAGTGATTCTATGAATATCCTCAAAAGTAACTATGGGTCTATGTCGCTTCCTTCTCCATGCTACAGGCAAATGCACAAAGACATAATTGCCCCTCCACTATGTGGTATAGGGTATAAAAATAAACTAAATAATATTATTTTTAATATTTGCAATAAATGCCACAATGAATAATAAATGCATTGCATTACTTCAACGCCAACACTCGTGCATGGAAGACCAAATGTCACTACCCACAAACAAGTGTATTCAAATGTGTCCAAATCATAGCTCTCCTGCCATGCCATAGATGGAGTAGAAGGGGCGGACAACGAATGCATTTTGACATTTTTCAAAGTAATTCTAATTATGTGGTTTTGTAATTAAATGCACCATCGCCAAAACGGCAGCAACAGAACAACAAAATATTTTGCAATTAAAAAATTCACAAAATTAAAGAACGAAAATATACACAAATACAACAACACCGACACCACCAGGCAATCGTATGTGTGTATTTGCCCCAACAATTACGAGCACATAAAAATCGACTATTAAAAGGAAATTGTTACAACAGCACTCCCGGTCTCACACGGTTTTGCCGTTACGCTGTCTGCTCGGTGGTCGGTTGGGTCGGTTAGTCGTCCATCATTCAGTGGCAGACAAAAATTAATATTACTCATACGTGACCGGTTTGCGTATAGGCTGGCTGGTCGATTTTTTTGGTGGGACCAGTGGGAAATGGGGAAATAATATTTACACGGTAATGATGCAGTAGCATCACTGGACTCTTACTTCTCCATTGAATGTTTACAAATAAATGGCGTATGTTTTATATTTTCCAAATTATAAATAAATTAATGCATTTTTTTTGTTTTGTTTTTTGGATGAAAGAGCTAGTAAAATCTGTCGTCAGTAAAGAAATTTTGGGAACATTTATTTTTAAATATTACAAAATTTACAAATATTAAAATATATTCAGTGGGGTTTTTCTGTTTTATAGAAGAACTTTCTGTTCTATACGAGTATGTGAAAGAATGTTGGAAGTCTACTTTCTATCTTATAAAGTTCTTATAGAGGTTATCTGGCTATATAGGTATCTATATCTATAAAAGACATTTTGAAGGCAATCCATCTATAAATAATTTTTATACCCTCCACCGCTCTATGGAGGGCATATTAACTCCTCGAACTACTCAAGTTAGACCAACAAAGTATATATATTCTTGATCAGCGTAAGATTCTAAGTCAATTTAGCGACGTCCGTCTGTCTGTTGTAATCACGCTATATTTGGATCGAAATTAGATAGAAGGCTAACATTTTGCACACGAGTTAAGTTCGTAGCCCTCATATAACGGTACTTCTCAAAATTTGCTATTTTGATGATTTTGGCGGCAATATTTAACGGAATTCATTCAAATTTCGTATTGGAAGATCTTAATGAGTACTACAACCTATGACAAAAATTACTTATGCTGGTCCATGTCTTCCTATAGCCCCCATATAATGATATCTCTCGATATTCGGTATTTTAATGACATTATTCAACGGAATTGTTTTTAATTTCATAATTGAAGTTTGAAATCGGTAGCCAACTAAAGGGTATTTCGACGGAATTTTTTAAATGTTTTAAGTTTAGGGTTTATGTTTTAAGTAGAGGGTGTATATCATTTG